GTGAGAGTGTGGTGAAAGGAGAACTCTCTTACACTGCTGGTGGAAATGTAAATTAGTCCAACCACTGTGGAACAATTTGGATATTCCTCAAAAGTCTACAAAAAGAACTACCATATGATCCAGCAATCCCATTCCTTGGCATCTACACACAGGACAGAAGAATTCTTCTTGGAAAAGTGCTTGCACATCGATGTTTATTGTAGCACTATTCATGATTGCTAAGACATGGAACCAACCCAAATGCGCCTGTACAGATGAATGGATTGAGAAACTGTGGCACATATACTGTATGGAATACTATGCAGCCATAAAACAACAACAACAACAACAAAACCCTGGCTTTTGACAAAAAGTGGAAGAATATAGATTTACTGCTGAGTGAAGCAAGCCAGGTTATGAAGGAGAGACACTATATGTCCCCACTTAATATATACCGAGTGTCTGCATTCTATAACTGAAACTGATTGACCTAAGGTTGTACAAACACAACAGATGGGGGTTAGTGCCAGAAGTGGAGTGTGTGGAGAAGAGGGACATAAGGAAGGACATCTGGAGGAGGGATACAGAGACAGAGCATTGACAGGATGGGGAGGTGTGGTGTTATTGGTGGAAGATATTCTGATAAACTGCACTGGGAAGAAATGTTCACATATTGAAATGTTCACTTTGTAAGCTAAATAATATGATTGAATGTATATAAAAATTAAAATTAAAAAAGGGGGAAAAAACTGTGATTAGGTACTGGGAGTCCAGTACCTTAACTACCATGCCATTTGCTGGCCCCCTCTAATGAATTTTTTTTCATTAAAGTTTTATGTGATACTAGCAAAGGTTTATTTTTGACATTGCACATATGAACTCTAATCTTCATAATAAATGTACTATCGTCTCTGTTTTACAGGTGAGGAAACTGATGTACCAAATGACTGAATGATTGCTCAAATTTTACAGCTAGTAAAAGGCAGAACTGAAATTCAAACCCAGACAGTCCCAACTGAGATTTAACAAACGTAGCTGGTGAGCTACTTAGCCAGGTTCTTGTAGCACAGTTTAAAATAAACAAAACCAGCCTAGTGTATGATTGAGGCAGCTGGATCCCACATGGCCAACTGCAGTTTGAGTCCTACACCTGGAGGCTTGAGAAACACTCTAGAGGCAGCTGCAGGCCCAGCCCCTCTTGACTTTCATGTATCCCCACCTTTCCTCCTCCTTGGACCCCAGGTTGGTTATATGCAACTTTAAGATGAACTCGCACCCCATCCCACCCACAAACCAGATCAAACCAGCCAGCAGTTCTGGACACCAGGCGCCCTGCAACTGCAGGCCCAAACAACCCAGTCCTGTCACTCATCCTCTGTCCCTTTCCACTAGCCTTTGGACTCTCTGAATTTTGGTGATTTGAATAGCGTGTGTTGCATACTGCACGAGCTCCTTTTTTGTTTTGTTTTTCTTTGCTCTTGAGGTGTTGCTTATTAGGTCAGTTGTAGGCTCAACACTCCTTAGAAGCAGGGAGAACTTTGAGCCATCCAGGACTAGTGGCAACAGTTAATGGTAATTGTGAGCAAAAGGTAGGCCAAGTATTAGAGAAATCATCAGTTTTCTAATCCTGTACAACTTTTAGCACTCAGAGTTATCTTAAATAAGTTAGGAAGAAACATATAGATTACCTGATGACTAGGAACAATCGAAGAGGCTCAAGAAATATGAGCAACCAACAAAAGGCCTCTCCCTCAAGGGAAATCATCAAGCCTACATCACCCACAGTCAATACAATGGACGTCGTGGACATGTCTGATAAGGAATTCAGAATATTTGTAGTGACCAAACTAACTGAGATGGAAGAGAA